GAAAAGAAAAAGACAAAAAGAGAGAGAAAATACATGTACTGAAATCAAATATTTTATCAGAAAAAAGAAATTCAACTCAAATGCATTTTAGTTCATGTGACTTTAGTAATCTTTAGTATACAAAGATAAGTTTTAAATTATTGATGAAATACAATAAAAAAGGACTTCAAAATTTAGACATTTGGTTTGAATTAGTTGGGTTAGATACTGTCTCAGCTAGATTCCCACCCCTCCTCCTTCAGACGGACTTTCTCTATTGTTGCCCAGACTGGAGTGCAATGGCTCACTGCAACATCTGCCTCCCAGCTTCAAGCAATTCCCCTACCCCAGCCTCCTGAGTAGCTGTGATTGCAGGTGCATGCCGTTATGCCAGCATAATTTTGTTTTGTTTTGTTGTGTTTTGTTTTTTGTTTGAAAGAGGCAGAATTTCACCATGTTGGTCAGGCTGGTCTCAAACTCCTGACCTCATGTGATCCACCTGCCTTGGCCTCCCAAAGTGCTGGGATTACAGCCTGGGCCACCGGCATACCATAGATGTTTCAGGGTATAAAACTATGCTTCTGTAATACTTTAGATATTTGTTTAACTTCTCTATAAATTTCATTTTTATATTTCAGCATTTTAGGGGCCATGGAAAAGCTGAGCTTCAGGTATTTTTCTTTCTCCTATGTTCTGCGTAACCACGCTCAGCAAATTTTTGTATTTTTAGTAGACGCAGGGGCTCACCATGTTGGACAGGATAGTCTCAATCTCTTGACCTTGTGATCCGCTGGCCTCAGTCCCCCAAAGTACTGGGATTACAGGTGTGATCCACTGTACCTGGCAATTTCTGTTCTTTAAGTCATCCTGTGTGTAGTACTTTTTTTATGACTGCCCTAACAAATTAAAACACACATAATACTCTGCCTAGTATCTGGACAAGATTATGAATTATCTAGGTTTTCTAATACTTGAGTGAATGAATTGAAAATTGACAAGTGTAGATGATAAAGGGTCATTTCCCAGCCACTTTGGGTCCCATGGTTGCTCTTTTCACTTTTACTCAGAACAGAGCTTGTGGTCCCAGTCTGATATATAATCACAAGCTGCATTTAAGTTTCTTGAGATGCTGAGGAGGTAAGTTTTCCCCTAATTTTCTAGAAATTATGAGAAATAATTATTTGTAATCATTACTAAAGTAAAAGGGGATTTTTATCCATTTTACTTTTTGCAAGTATGATGTGTTTTCTTCCTGCTTTTGTGTGTGTGTGTGTGTACACATTTAGTTTTATTGTAACAAAGCAACTTGTACACTTTTAATGTTTAAAACTGAGCATCATCTTTCCTTTCCAGTGAAACAAAAAGGAAATTTAAAAATAAACAGGAACAAATTACAATAGAGAATGCCAATTCCAAATAAGATCCTACAGGTTCTCCTGATTCTCTCATTGAGTGACAGGGCTCAAGTCATCATTAGGAGAGAATTTATTTTAAAAGTGTCATCTTAAACTTCAAGGATGTCTATCAAATGTCACAATTAAACATGCCAAAGGAGAAGCCATGTTGTCAAAATGCCCACTTACCCCACCCAAACATCCCAAACCCACCCTTTGCTGACCTTCTATAACCCCATTTTTTTAAGTTTTTTTTCTTTTTTTAAACAAGAGAAAGTAGACAGATACATGTTGGTAAATGCTAACTGTCCATATTCACATAGAGACACAGTGTACTCTCTGAGCCCAAAATACAGAGAAAGGAGGAAAAAAGCTAGAATTCTATGCACTACTACACAGGGGCCTAGCACCCTCCAG